TACGAATATATGTTACTGCTGTTTCCTTAATATTTTTAAATGTCCATGGACATGGTATTTGATATTGTATCCAAATTTTTTCTGCAAGGAGATCTGTCCATCCTGATTGTAACGTAAGATAATTTCGACCATTTTCATATGTAGTTTTTACAGGTTCTATTTTTTTCCATTCATCAAATGTTAATGATATATCAAATTTATCTCTGTATATAGCTGATGATGCATTTGGATCGAAACTGTAATCTCCATTTACTTGTACTGATATATTTTTAATTTCAAATGCATTTACTATCGCTTCGTATAAACTATTTCTATTATTCTTCACAATTGTGTATACGTGCTTACTAGACGGATTTCCATCCAGAACATTTGAGATGCGTTTAAAAACTTCATTGGATGGTGGAAAACATTGACCGATTTCATTGACCGTTCTGTATTCTTCACTTATAAGTAAAGTACGCAATTTTTCTATGTCATACATTTTTTTGTATTGATGACTTTAATGAAATGATAACTTTAAAAACCTGTGAATAATAATTATAACTGTTATAAATTACTACATATTCATTTTTTGTATTCATAAAAAATTTAAAATACAAGTTGCAAAAGATAAATAAATATATGAATCTACTATAAGTAAATAAATTTTTTATAATTATGTCCTTATTTCCTTATACAGAACCTGATAATTAACGATAAAACTCTCTCGCATAAAGGCAAAATGGATTAAACTGAGAAGAAAAATTATCTACTATTTTGCATTTTTCGCATTAGTTAACGAGATATTAATTTAAGAAAACAGACAAATTCGCCGGGCTTAGCGTCAAATGCAAGCGCGCAACGATAAGACCGCCTCGCAAGGTGCGGATTCGCTGTTGCTAGGCACGTCCAATGTCACTGGTAAACAACGTGCCTAGCGACAGCCAACGAGCACCACGCTGGGCGGTCTTATCTCGTCGCACGCTTGCATTTGACGGTAGGCCGGACGAATTTGTAATAACTCGTTAACTAATACAATAAATGCAAAATGGTAGAGAACTTTTCTACTGAGTTTAATCCATTGTGCCCCTGTACGAAAGATTTATCGTTAATTTTCAGATACCTTGTACATCCTTTTACTGTAGCTCAACTTACCTATTCTTTACAAAATCTTGAAGAAATACAATGACTAACATCGAAATTACAATGACTAACGTCGAAATACTACTGATCTTCGCGACGACTGCCGCACGATTGACGAACTGTGATGTTAATGATTTAATGGACAATAAGATGGAGACAGAATGATACATATGTATAGTCATTGTAATTTTCCCCGAACGCAGCCTTGGAAAACACGATTTCAATAACACACTATTTGACATTAGCCTTTTCACATTAGCCATACCGTGTCTAGATATCTATATTCATTAAAATATTTATAATTCTGAAACAATAATTTGGGAAAAATATTTCCAACAATATACCAATATATCGAGTGAATAAAGGTTAAACCAGCTTTTTACCCTATAAGCAAATTATCGACTGAACACCTAATTAGCGACTTAGCGGTACAGATCGGATGCGTGGATATGCATAGACATCGTACGAATTGCTGATCCGAGTAAAAAAGTATTTAATGCAAATTGATGGAAGGAAGAAAATAGAGAGTAGAATACTATAAGTCCAACGACAAATTCTGATTTCCCATCAATCAATTCAATCCAATCGAAAAATTTTTTTATAATGCCAGTTCTGATTAGACTTCTATGCAGTTCCTGACGAGTTCTGTCGAAAAGTATCGGGTGACAAAGCGATCGGACCAACGGTTTTCAAGATACAGGAAATTCAAAAAATTTTTTATCACTTCTTGAATTTCGCGTATCATGAAAACCTTTGATGCGATCGCTTTGTCACCCAATACTTTTCGATAGAACTCGCCGAGAACTATACAGAAAGCTAATCAGAACTACTGGAACTTTCAAAAAATTTTTCGACGTGGGACTTAGAAAATTATCAATGACAAAGAAATTTTTTGAGAGTGCCAGTAGTTCTGATTAGAGTTCTGTGTAGTTCTCGGCGAGTTCTATCGAAAATTATCAGGTGACAAAGCGATCAACGGTTTTCAAGATACGCGAAGTTCAAGAAGTGATAAAAAATTTTTTATTTTTATCTATAAATTTTTTTGTTTGCCAAAATTGTTTTTTATGTATCAGGAACTCTAGGTATTCACAAAATAGAGTTGTTAAGCTGCTCAGAACTATTCGACCTTGAATTTCGTTGAGAAGTTAGCACCCCATTTTTTAAAAATTGTTTAAAAATTGTTATTAACTGAATTTCGAATTGAGGAGTACAGAGAACTCTTCGTTTCGATAAAAGGAAGCAGGAATTCTAATCAGAACTATTGTATCTGAAAATTGATTTTTCAAAAATTTTTAATTTTTTTTGATTTTTCAAAAAATTTTTTTTTTACATCAGGAACTCTAGGTATTCACGAAATGAAGCTATTGAGCCGCTTAGAACTATTCGATCTCGAATTTCGATAAGATAGCTAACATTTAAAAAAATAACGCAAACCTAGAGAATCGTCACTGTAATTCTCATTACAATCTACTGTTTCATTACTGATTGATATAACATCATGTTTACATGATGATAAAGAAGTGTTTTTTTCAATTTCTGATTGTGTTGAACAGCTCGATTGACCAATTACCAAAGAGAATGATGTTTTGGTTCTAAAAAAGAAGGTTATTAAATAAGAAATTAAATGTCATAAGAGGTACTACTAACCGTCTGTGCTTTATATAAGGATTTAAAAAAAGCATCGTTTTATAAAGTTCCCATTCCTTCGTGGGTTTATATCCTGAGCCTGATGGCGGCAATTGTTGTTTTCTCTTTTCGCAGCTGAACATATCTCTCAAAGATGTCCAACATTTCTCTATCATTGCTTCAGCTGTCAACAAATTTATATCTCATTGGATTATTTATAATTTATTATGTGATGTTTAAAGAATGCTTACCTGCCATGTCAACGCCGTAAAAATTTTTTAAGGTTTCTGATATTTTGTGCCATAATTCTTTCTTTTTAAGGTTATTTTTAAAATTTATATCTTTTTTATCGTACAAGCATTTATTGTCACGTACGAAATTAATGATTACTTCGTTTAATGTTACTGATTGCCGAATCTCTTCAAAGTCCGGTCGTCGGTGGGGAATCCTCGGCAAATTATGAACGCCGGTAGGAATCCGGACTCTTCCTTTTGGACCATTTTGGCCGCATTGTTGTACACTTGGACGTGCGTCATCATGTTGTTCATGACGGCGAGGTGTGTGACGCCAGGTATCCATAATTGGCACGGAAGCCGCTGCGGTAAAGGAGCGTCTTGTCGCCCAGTTTTATGCCACCGGCGAAAAAATCGCTCATCGAGTTTGGTCCCTTGCCGTCCAGTTTCACGACAATGGCGTCGTTGCTATCATCGTTAAAAACTAGGTCATTGGCTCGATGTAGCTGAATGACTTCTACGTGTGCGTGATCGACGTCGACGATGGTGTGCAGGAGGTCACGAGCGGCGTATCTTCCGAGCCTCATGCCGTGCGAAAAGTACGTGAATCTCGTGTACTTGATGCCGCACGTCTGACTGAGATTTAGTTCTTGGAGCAAGGCGGTGACGCGTCGAGCGTAAGCGTCGAAATCACCCTTCATCACGCAGTACGTACGCTTGACATCGTACACCAGATACTTGAATCCCGTTCGAGATATGTTCGTGTCGGTGGGCATGTCTGCGGCCGCGCGCGCGATGACCAGCATGACGAAGGCGTTGGCGGCCGCCTTCAATCGTCCGTCTTTCTCGGCCGTGCTCCTTGGTGGCACGTCCTCGAAGAACTGGCTCTCGAGGTCCAATTGGAAGAGGAGTTGTAGAGGATGGTCGTCGATGGTACCGAGGCACAGCTCGTACCATGGCTCCTTCGCTACGCACGATTCTTCGTAGCCGTGTGCGACGGCCGGTTCGCGGAGAATTCCGAATTTTTCCCTGTTGGCTAGGTACCGAGTAAGTTTTATGTTTTTGCACTCATTGGCTAGGTTCGGCTGGCTGTATATTTTAGCTATAAAGTGACAACGAAACGGTTCCATCGACATAGCGCAAATTACTATGGAGTCCACGTCCGACTTGGACTGGAAGCCGCGTCGTTGTCAAGGTCCAGTATTACTGGACGCAGTTCGACGTCGTCGTCGTCGTCGTCGACGGGGACGTCCACGGGTGGGTCCCGGCGACGGGAAGGTCCCGGTGTCACCTCCATCGTGTCACTATCACTGTCACTCGGTGTCACTATCACTGTCACTCGGTGCTCACTGCCGTTTAATACTGAAATTCAATCTGAAATAGAAAAGGGATGTTTAGTCGAGGGTCTCGGGGGACGCTCTCTTCGGAACTTACCGTTTCGCGAACGATGTTGGGCCCATATCAAGATGGTTCCATCGTCGTTCAACGGGGCCCGAAGAGAGACGAACGTTACGGACAGGGAGCGGATCTCCCCCTGACGGTGCCGTACCACCGGGCGTTTGAAGTCGGGGTCGCCATCCCCTACCGGTACTCGGTCTCCTCAAAGCCATGATATTGCCAGAAAAATATAGAGGTTAAATTTCTTAGTAGGACGGCGTCGTAAAATGGAAAAGATGAGAGTTGACCATCTTTCGTTACGACATCAACAACCGACTGCAGACAGCACTTTGCGACACTCGACAATTCAATGCGCATGCGTCCGACATTCGACAGCGACATACGACGTATTGTGTAACAGGCTAAAGTCCGTTCTACAATAAGCCGTTTGTCGCTGCTGGATGTCACTAACCGTATGTCGAATGTTGCATGTCGGGTATTATTACTACATATTATTCTACATTTAGTCGCAGTTGGTTGCAGTGTGTCATAGTGTGAAAATTGAGGTTATAACTATCAATGAACAATAAAACTGTAATAATGTATTGCAATTTGCTATCCATTTGGGTACAAATTACAAAAATGAGACTATTGCTAAAGAATAGATATCAAGTAAGAAGAAAAAGAAGAAGGTAGGTTAAACATCATATTTCTGTTGATATGCGAGAAAATTTTGGTGCTCATAGAAAACTATTCATCTATTTTAAATTACACGATCACGAAGAATTTTTTCAATTTACACGAATGTCTGTACAACAATTTAATTATTTACATCATCTTTTGGAGTCAAAATTACGAAAGAGGAGTCGCAGAGAACCTTTACCATCAGAAATTCGTCTTGCTGTTACATTAAGGTATACTATATTGTAATTGATTAAAATTATGTTTATATATATTCAGTCTCTTGTCATATATATATATAACCAATCATTTATAAATTTTTAAGATTAGAAACATTATTATAAAACAAATTAATAAATTAAGAGTTAAGAGCTCAGCTAAATGTTTATTGCTAAACAAAATATAGTTTAAATGACAGACGTTATGATCTTATACCCGATCATTATCAGTCTATTGTTTAAACTATATTTTGTTCAAAATTACTAATAAACATCTATCCAGGTTTGTACTCCTTGTAATTAATTTGATTTTTATCCATTTAAGCTTTAGTTTTTTTAAATTATTATAAACTTCCTATTATTTTTAGTTTCGTTGCTCATGGTGATAGTATTGCTACTACTTCACGACTTTTTCGTATTGGGAAATCAACCCTATACAGTATTATTCCTGAAGTGTGTAAAGCTATATGGGAAACTTTACAACCGATATATCTCCGATGTCCACAGCAAGAAGATGAATGGCTGAAAATTGCAGATGAATTTAATAACATCTGGAATTTTCCAAACTGCATAGGCGCAATTGATGGCAAACATTGTCGTATTCAAGCTCCGGCTAATTCTGGTAGCGAATTTTATAATTATAAAAGCTACTTCAGCTTTGTATTAATGGCCATTGCTGATGCACGCTATCGTTTTATTTGGGTAGACATTGGAAATTATGGTAAATTTACTTATTTTTATATTATTAAAATGTATAAAAGTAAAGTTTCTTTTAAATTAAGTTATAAAATATATTCTAATTAGGTTCTCTCAATGATGCGGGAATTTGGTCCCATACCACTATGTGTCAAGCTTTGGAGAATAATACAGTATCTGTTCCACAAGCTCGCTATTTAGATAATACTAATATTACAATACCATTTTCTCTTATTGGCGATGAAGGTTTTCCACTTAAAAGTTACTTGATGCGACCATTTGCTAAAAAAAATTTACTGGGTAATGAGCAGCGAGTGTTCAATTATCGATTATCAAGGGCACGACGAGTAATCGAAAATGCATTCGGTATTCTCGTTGCAAGGTGGAGAATTTTACAAAAGGCTTTAAGTTTAAAATTGGAAACTGCAGAAGTTATAATACAAGCTTTAACTTGTTTACATAATTATATTATAACCACTGAGTTAAGCAACAATATTTACATGGAGGTATTGCAGATAAAAAAGGTCCTAATGGTGAAGTAATAGCAGGAAATTGGAGAAATTCAGTAAGAGAAAATAGTTTTGTTGCTTCTTTGGGACGAGTTGGAGCAAACATAGGTGCATCTGCTGCTATAAAACAGCGTGAAATTTTATCTCGTTATTTTGTTTCGGACGAAGGAAGCATACCTTGGCAATGGCAATGTATTTAATGAACGAATAAAATTGGAAAAGATAAATTTTTATTTTAAATTACTAAATAACATTTACATGGAGGTATTGCAGATAAAAAAGGTCCTAATGGTGAAGTAATAGCAGGAAATTGGAGAAATTCAGTAAGAGAAAATAGTTTTGTTGCTTCTTTGGGACGAGTTGGAGCAAACATAGGTGCATCTGCTGCTATAAAACAGCGTGAAATTTTATCTCGTTATTTTGTTTCGGACGAAGGAAGCATACCTTGGCAATGGCAATGTATTTAATGAACGAATAAAATTGGAAAAGATAAATTTTTATTTTAAATTACTAAGTAACATGATTAAGTATTTTAAAAATGTAGAATATTGTAATCAAGTTAGAAAATAAAGTATAAAAAAGTTTTTTAATACAATAAAGTAAATACAAAAACATTTTTGCTCTTGTGTAATTTATTTTTTTAATATTATAATATATTTTTGTATTTATAATATGTCAAACATATACATATATAAGGTTCACAATTATACTCTCTTAAAACAGTGAAGTAAAAAAATAAAACACATGTCAAAAATAAAATATATGTCAAAATAAAATGTTAAAATAACATGTTAAAAATAAAACTATACTCTCTTAAAACATGTTGAAGTAAGAAACATAATATATATGTTGAAAATAAAACAATATTAATAAAAGTTTTAATAATAAAATTTTCAAATAAAAATAATTATCTCTCCTCATATTTTTGAATTATCTGTAATCTATGAAATACTGAGTTTTATGTTTATCAGGAATATATTTTATACCTTCTTCTATAGCTAACATGTAACCACTTTTATTTTCGTTTAACACATAAGATGAAATTGATTGTACAGCATGAGATATTGCAGAAGACGCTTCGGATAATTGTTGGTCAATTAGTAGATCCTTTTGTTTTCGACGTTTTGCAAAAGTATCCAATTCAGGCGTAACACTTTTTATATTCTTAAATGGAGAACTTATTGCATTCTGTGTACCAAAATTTGATGTTCTCGGAAAGTGTATCTTAGATATGTTAGATGAATTACTGCTGCAGGAAAAGCTAGATAATACACTAGGAGGACGACTTGATTCAGATTGATAATCAACTGTTATAATCACTTCATTTTCGTTTGGTATGTTATTTTCTGGAAGTTTTTACAAGATATTCATTTTTATATTTATAACTATAAAATAAATTTAATTAATCTTTTACTTAAAAGATCAATACACATATACTTGTCATACCTTTCTCACTTTCAATATTGTCATAGTCTGCTATTGGAGAAGGAACAGATCCATCAAAACTTGAAGAATTATTTATTTCAGTCTCCGAGGGTACTAAACAACTCAATCGGCATGGTAGTGACGTTTTTGTTCTAAAAATAATTTTACAATAAAAAATAATAAGTAAAATGTAATAATATAATCACAACCATGTAAAACCAACCGTCTGTGTGCTATATGAGGAGATAAGAAAAGCATCATTTTGTATAGTTCCCATTCTTTTTTAGGTTGATAACCTGATCCCGATGGCAATAACTTTTTTCTAGCTTCTCTACTGAACATATCTCTTAATGACAACCAACGTTTTTCCACCGCATCAGCTATAAAAAATAAATTTATTGTATATTTACAATATAATATTTATAATAGGTTTTTTCAAGTTTTTACCTGTCATATCTATATCATATAAATTTCTTAATTGTCCTGATATAACTTGCCACAAATCTTTTTTTTTATTAATATTTTTAAAATTAACGTCTTTTTTGTCGTAGAGACATGTATTGTCTCGTACGAAATTAATGATAACTTCATCTACAGTTGTTTCCATTTCGTTTTCTAGGTTAAATTGCACTTATGTCGGTTGTCGCGATCGAAAAAGATGGAAGTTGGTCATCTTGCGTTGCGACATCGACATTCGACTTTTTTTTTTTGTTTTGCGTAGGAGGAGAAAATCTTCGTATAACCCCCAGCTAGGAGTCCTCCCTTACGGGAGTTCCAACCTAACCGAAGGGGGAAGACACCCATTACCGCGCACGATGGGTGTGTTGGATTCGGACTGTTGTCCGGGCAGTGTGGCTCAGGCTAGGCCCGTAAGGACGGTCGTAAGGAGGGCTACTCGCTGTATGAGCCAATTCCCAGGCGACTGGAGAGGCCCGGCTTTCGCACCAGCAAGACCGGTCCCCGGGTCCATTGCCGTTATTTGCCAATTCACTTACCCGGGTCCGCCTACCAACTAAAAACTCCCCCTGTCCTGCGCTACCTCACAAATCTATTGTCGAACGCCCGGAACTACCGAGGTATGACTTCAGGCGCTCGACAGCCCTTGCTTGTTCCTATCCTTGCGCGGTTCTTTCTTTGTGTTTTATGTATACGCATATACGCATATACTCGCCGTTAATCTGTCGAGTCACTATGTTTAGTGTCTCGCTTCTTTCTGCCTATCTCGATAAATCCGGTTCTCTATCTCGAACGAACAATTATGTTCTGTTCGCGCGAGGGGGGTTGGGAGCCCGTATAATCGCCTGACGGGCCCTCTCCGATTCTTCCTTCGCCATCATGACTCTGTTACAGAATTGGGAGAAAGCTTCCCAGTTCCTTTCGTCTTTTAGTATTTGTACAATTATAGTTATCATATCTATGTTAGGTCCTATTATGTTGGTTAGTTGTCGTCTTTCTTCTTGCCATGCTACGCATGTACTTAGTGTATGGTTTGCGTCATCCCTTCTACTTGCGCAGTGTGCGCATCTAGTTGTAGAAATTTTGCGAATTTTATATAAGTAGCTGCTGAAACATCCATGTCCCGACATTATCTGCGTCATATGGAACGTTACTCTTCCAGCCTTCCTCTGGTACCATTCTTCGAGCTTCGGTGCGATCATCTCCCTCACTCTTCGCCCATACCCACCTCTTCTTTCGCATTTTCCTTTCCACGTTGCTACCGCATGACTACTTGCTTGTGTTTTTAATATGTTCTTGGCTTTTTCGCTAATCTCTATGCCGCGGTTTCTTAAGTCTTTGATCCTTAGATAAAGGTTTTTATATTTAATAGCTAGAATATCAGCCGGTATCATTCTTGCTAGCAGCATAGTGGCTTCGTAAGCCACTGTTTTATAAGTGCAGGCTATTCTGCCGGCTATCTTCTTTTGCGTTCTCCTCAGAACCGTCTGTACATCCTTATTGCTTCCGATGTCATCGGCCCACACCGGAGCTCCATACATCAGTACTGACATTAAAGTCCCTGCAAAGAGTCTTCTCTTTTCCTCCATTGGTCCTCTGAGGTCCTGCCTTCGGCATTATTTTTCCTAATAAGGTTATTAACACATCCACTTTCTTCGCTGTTTTGTTAAAGTGGTTTGTGAATTTCCACTTACTATCAATCTGTATCCCTAGGTATCTAGTTGTGTCTTTCATTTGGATCAGTTCTTCTTGTATCACCAACACTGGCAGCGGTCGGGGCACTTTTTTTGGCACAAATATCGTTGCTTCTGTTTTCCTGGCTGCTATTTTTAGTCCCATTACTTCGAATTCTCGAACCACGATTGCTGTGGCCAGCTCTACGCATGCTGCCGCTTCCGGTACGTTATCTCTGATTGCAATTATTAAAGTGTCATCTGCGTAGCAAATTATATAACAGTCTTCCGGTATGTCTACTTTTAATATTTCGTCGTATGCGATATTCCAGAGCAATGGCCCTAATACCGATCCCTGCGGGACTCCTCTATTCGACATTCGACTTGCGACAACTTCTTTCGACAAACGACAATATAACACGCATGCGCCCGACGTCCAGCAGCGACATACGGTTTATTGTAGAACGGGCTTTAGACTAACGAGCGTTTCACATGTATACCATATATTTAATTGTAAACGTGATGAGTCGCTTTTGTTTTTTGAAATTGTAATTTAATTTATAGCATGATGATCTTATTACAATAAGAAATTAATTCTTTATATTAATAATTTAATTTTTATTATTGTACATTATGCTTTATAATGTCACAATTGCAACTATACGGATGTATAACTTATCCATAATAAATGATCCCTCAACCAAGTTTTGGTTCTGACAACCAGATACGCCTAATTACATTGATGTAGTTGACACATCAAAGTATATAAATCATATCAACCATACACATTCCTATCACATAAAAATGACTAGGATGATGTTTCTATATTGTTCACAACTAGATATTTTTAGTTATGTAAACTATATCTTTTTTTTCCGTGTATATATATATACACTTTATATAAGTTTATTTTCACAATATAAACATTTGTGATGTGAAAGTTTATTTTTTGAGAATGATATAAAATATTCTAATTTAGGAGTTTATTTGAAAAAATTGCAATATTATAAAAATATATACATATAGGCATAGAAATAATGTTATGTAGAAACTATATATACAGGGTGGACCAAATGAGTCTATAATGGGAAATATCTCGAAATAGAGGCATAATACAAAAAAATACCTCAGACAAAAGTTGCAGGGGGCAAAGGGGGACACGCAATGGTATCATTGACTTTGACCTTAAACTCGATTTTCAAAGTTATTTGAAGGTCATGATCATTTTTTTAAATGGAATTATATGAATTTTTTTACATAATATGATTCCTCTAATTATTCTGCATATAAAAGTATTAAGGTAGCGATATCAAAAAACCAATAGTTTACGAGATATTTTATATTTCATTGTGGCACATATTGACATAAAATATTAAATAATTCGTAAACTATTAATTTTTTGATAACCATACCTTAATACTTTTATGAACAGAATAATGAGATGAATCAATTAGTGGAAAGAAAACACATAGTTGCTTTA